AAAGAAAGAAAGAAAGAAAGAAAGAAAGAAAGAAAGAAAGAAAGAAAGAAAGAAAGGGAGGGAGGGAGGAAGAAAGGGAGGAAGGAAGGAAAGAAGGGAGGAAAAGAAGGGATGAAGGAAAGAAAGAGAAAGAAAGAAGAAGAGGGGGAGGAAAGAAGGAAGGAAGGGAAGAAAGAGAATGTGAAAGAAGAAAGGGAGGGAGGGAGGAAAGAAGGGAGGAAAGGAAGGAAGGAAGACAGAAAGGAAGGAAAGAGAGAGACAGAGAGAAAAGAAAGAAAGGGTGGGAGAAAGAAAGAGGGAAGGAGGAAGGAAAGAAGGGAGGAAAAGAAGGAAGGAAGACAGGAAGGAAGGAAAGAAAAAGTGAAAGAAGAAAGAGGGAGGAAGGAAGGAAGGAAGGTAAAAGATGAAGGAGTTGGGGAATTCTAGGAATCGGAAGTCCACTCATCTTAAACTTGCTAAGGCTGATCCTGAGGACATGTTCGTGGTCAGCCCTGGGTTAGTCCTTTGCATTCTGGAACCCAAGACCACTGTCCTGCTTTAAATTGGAGATTTTGGCCCATTCCTCCCTCCTCCTCCTCCTCCTCCCTTTCTCAGGAGGGTCCTTGTGGGACATTCCCATTGCATCCGCCAGCATCCTGGACCTCTCTCCATCCCTCCTGCCCCACCTGGTGCTCTTGATGGACAGGATGCAGGATCTGTCCAGCAAGGGCTATTTCCAGATTGATGCAACTCTGTCAAAAGGGGGGGTGGCTCAAAAGATGCCCCCCCCGCCCCTCCCACCTCCACGAACTGGGCAGAGTTGAGCAGCCTGCTGCATTTTCAGAGAAACTGACACACACACACACACACACACACACACACACACACACACACACACCCCTGCTGACTGGGTCATGCAATCTCTCTCCCCGCCTCCCCCCCCCCTTCCGGGAAGGGCTCACAATCGCCTCCAGGCCGCTCTGAGCCCCTGTGGATTGGTGTCATCCAGGACCTATTTTTAGCCCGGATAAATAAATCCCAAACCAGGGAAGATTGTATCCCTTGGACTGTCAGCCCCACCAGGTAGAGCAGAGCGGGCAAATTCAGGGCCACCGAAAGAGCCGCTTGCTCTTTTCATTCAGACTGGCCAGAGGAAGGGAGGCTGCTGGGGCTACGGCCACTATTATTATTAGGAATATTATTATCTCTCCTCCTCCTCCTCCAAAAACTATCTCATTCTGGACTTTCACAGGTTTCAACCCCTTTTACCTAAGCAGGACCTCTTGTTATCTTTTCCAAGATAATCTCCTACAAAACAGCCTTCTTGCCTCCCTCTCCTTCCTTCCTTCCTCCTTTCCCTCATGTTCCCTTCCCAGCTCCTGTATTCCTCCCTCTCTTTCCTTCCTTCCTTCCTTCTTTCCTCCCTTCCCTCAGGTTCCCTCCCCACCTCCTGTATTCCTCCCTCTCTTTCTTTCCTTCCTTCCTCCTTTCCCTCAGGTTCCCTCCCCACCTCCTTCCTTCCTTCCTTCCTTCCTTCCTTCCTCCCTTCCCTCATGTTCCCTCCCCACCTCCTGTATTCCTTCCTTCCTTCCTTCCTTCCTTCCTTCCTTCCTTCCTTCCTTCCTTCCTTCCTTCCTTCCTCCCTCCCTCCCTTCCCTC